CCCCCCCCCCTCTTTTTCTTCGCCGGCGTCGGCCCCAGGCGGTGGTGCACATGTAGCGGCTCAAAGGATTCTGATTTAGAAGTTTGTTCCTCCATCATCCGGCCACTAAATCCAGTCCGTCCTTTCCGTCCTTTCACTGTGAAATGGTTTTAATTTCCTTTTTTTAGCAAGATCTAGCTAGAAAACCTACAGATCTGGATCCCATTCACCTTCTTCCTCGGACAAAGCTTTCACGATCAAGTGGCGGCGGTAACGGAAAAGCTTTCGGGCGATGAGGGGATGACAGTGCCAACGACCATGGCGGATTTAAAATAGATCTCACCTCATCTCTTAATTTTTTTTTCAATTTCATTAGCTATTGATTTTGAGCCCAATCTCTTCAAAAACGGAGATGGCAAGAATGGAGTCGGTGGGTTTGCAGGGGTGGGTGGGTTTGAGAATGAAACTTTGAAGAGGTGATGTGGGGTTGGAAGAATAAAAAACAAAAGGGCAAATGTAGAAAGTCAAAGCAATTTTAGCATTACATTAAAAACCGTGCCAAGTCAAATTGAGAAGTTTCAAGTGGGACAGAGGGAGTAAAAGAAGACAGAGGAGTTGTGGAAGAGAGAAAAAGAATAAAGGAAGAAAGGGTAAATTAGTAACTTTAAATAAATTTTAATTCCATTTTAGGAAACGGGAAGAATCAAGTGGGACGGCTTAAAAAGGAAAGTGAGAAGAAAGATATGGGACGGAGGGAGTATATATATAAATTTTTATTTTCATCATTTTAATTATATGATAATTATTGATTTCAAAATAAAATGTAATATGCTTTTAAATTGGGATGGCCGAAAATAGCAAAAGGAAAAATACATGACATAAATTGATTTTCTACCTAATGATATATTTGATTGAATAATCAAATATTTGATTAACAAAAGGATATTTGTCTTGTTGTGTTGGTTGGGGACATTACATTAATCCTAAGGGTCATGCTACACTTACACCACAAATTGTACCCCATTTGTACACCGCAGCTATACACAAACATTTTGATGGTTTACACCGACACAAGTGTTGGTGCGTTAACAAAAATTTACACGGACACAAAGTGTTGGTGCATTAACAAAAATTAGTTTTACACCAACACAAAGTGTCGGTGCAAACCTGCGGGGTACAAAGTGGGGGAGAAAAGTTGTGTTACAAATAGCTTTATCCTAATCCTAATTTGTTTTGTCCCTAAGCTATTTCCTAGAAATTCTTTAAGTTATGTTATATAAAGAAAATGAATTCCTCCCCATTTTTATGAGTGAAGTTTCGGCCATCTCAATGAGAGAGAAAATATTTTATTTTGTGTTCCAAGTTATTTTTCTAAAGTGTTAGAAATATACACAAAATATTATAAAGAAATATTTATAAGATAAATATTTTTACTATATATTTATTACTCCCAAAGTAGTATTATTATAGTTTTACTATCCTATATTAAACTTGCTAGCACAAGTTTAATCTAGGACTCCGGAGCAAGTTCGTGTGGATACGTTGGAGGCTTCATACGTTTGGTGCTACGTTCATCTCCTCAAAACCATCCCCGACCGTTTCTCCGTTCTCCGTTTTCACCGTTAAGGTAAATTTCTTACTATAGCTAGTAATTTACGTAAGTTGTTCTTGGGTGGAATCGAGTTTTGGACTCTAAATTTTTGTTTTCGCTGCGTCATCCAAGCCTCGTTTCCCAACAGTGGTATCACAGCCGGCTTACAAAGTTACTAGTTTAGTAGTTTTTACCGCTATCATTTTTGTAGATTAGTCAATAAATTTTGGAGACAAAAATTTATCCCATTATAAAATTTAATTAGGTGGCCATATTTAGATACTGGACCTAATATAATTTTATTTAGTAATTTTCGGAATTACTGTTTGGGGTATTTTTATATTATTCTTATTAAGTAGTTTATGTGTAGAATACTTGTTATTTGTGCAATAAACACTTAATATTTATGAAAATTAGATTTTATATTTTCTGGGATATATTTTACAGGTCAATATAACTCAGAAATTTTAAAATCGATTTTTGGAATTAATTTCCTATTTTTCTATTTTTAAATTCGTTTATTGAATAGAAAGTAGGAAAAACTAATTTTGACGATCAAAAATTAATTTTAATTCATAATAAGTTGCGACCAAAGATTTTAAGCTTGTGTAAAAATTTTCATAATTTTTAAGCTCGTAAAAATAAATATTTTGTATTTTTGAAGTAATTGGATCGGTACTATTCACTAGTCCGATTTTTAATTATTTAAAATTGCAAAATGAATATTTTAAATTCTGGAAAAATCATATTCTGGTTCTGGAACTTATTTTGGACTTGAAAAATAAATTTTGATATTTTTGGAATTTCGAAATATATTTTCACAATATCATTTCGGTTTTCTAGCTA